AATCCAAATGGAAAAATTAAGAATTCTTTATTGACTACATTAATAGAGCACCAATTTGTCGACAAGCTTATAACTAGGTAGTAATTTGAGTTCAAAGTGGTGTCTTTACATATTGGGTTTTTTTTTTTTTTGAGTGTTGTGCCGGCCCAATTGCTTGGGTTTGATTTGGTCCAACTTTAATTTGGGAGCAACATTAATTCGTTTTATTTATGATAAAATTGCCTTGACAAATTATAATGACGATATAAATATCTCATTGTTGCTTAATATATTGGAGTAGTAGCTTAATTTGGGGGGTAGAGTTTGGTTTATATGTGATGGGATGGATGTGAATTAGTTGATAGAACAGGTAGGCTTATTTTCGAAATTTGTCAACCAAGTTTAACAGATTGTGACCGTGACTTACCAAACAATAATATTGTCCACAGAGGCTACATTAATTGTATTTTGATCGATCATTACAACTGTAATCAACTCTCTCTATGTATTGTTCATTTGTCACCCACATGAGTCCAAATATCAGTGTGCCATCGCCTTTTGACCTTCATGTGAGAAGGGGATGATCTCAGATGAGTCCAAGCAAAAGTCTTTTTGTGATTTTCAAGTGTAAATAATCTTAATTAATTCAAAACTTTTTGTTTTGTACAAAAAATTTCATGCAAGCTTCTACGCTTAACCAGGCATATATATAAATAAAATTGAAAGGCATGCATGATGCATCCATATGTTAATTATCACATTTAGAAATTAACTAAGTGCATAGAAAATTAGACCTATATATATAAATCCCAGCTCGATCGGAGTTTTTTTATTTATTTATTTATTTTGGTTACATAATGAGAGGTAATTATTTTACATCCTTTATTCCACTTTACTCGTTTTTTACGTGATTCGAACTCAAGAACTTTTTACTTATAACGGAAGGAGATGACTATTAAGTTATTTAGATTGTTAACAGCTCAATTAGAGTTTTTAGCTGTGTGGGAGAACAAATTAATGTCCAAAGAGACTATTAGCATAGCCTTCAAATCTACAATTAATTATCATTTCAATCATATGATATATATGGTGTTGGACATATATACAAAAGGAATACTGCAGATGCATGTGCGAAGGAGATCTCAGGAAATTTATGTCCGAGAAGGATCGCATTAATGCACATATAATACTGATGCTATGCTGCATCAACCAAGGGAATGATATACAATTCTCATATTCTAAAGCATATTTCTGAAGCTCGGAATCTTCCCCGCTCAAACATTCGCACATTATTACAAAAAATTAAGAAAGTTAATTTTCTCCAGCACTAGTTAGTAGTAGTGGAGTATGTATAATCTTTAATAAGTTGAACCAAAAAATAAAATGAGTAACATAAAAAATAAAATAGAATAGAATGAGAAATTAAATATGAAATTAAACTGCAATAAAATAAATTAAGCTCATGGGTCCCCTAAGGGTGATATTTTAGTGGTAAAAAATTTAAATATTTATATTAGAAATTTCAAATTCGAATCTTGATGGATATATGGTGAGGAACTTAAGAAGAGAAGAGTTAATATTTTTTATTGTATAATCTATTATTTGATTTATCTAAAAAACTAAAGCTCATGGAAATAATTAAAAATGTCTAATATTAGATAAATTACAGTCACCATATATATCAAATTATAATTAATATAAGCACATGAAAATGCAAAGTTGCAAGCATATAACCTTTAGGTTATTAGGGTTTTCTTTGAATTAAATTCAAATTCCACCTCCCTTTTACTAAGAAATAAGGTAATTAACTTTCCATTTACAAATTAAAACATGAAATTCACTATTGCATGCCCTATAGCTAGGTCCTGCAGAGTACCTCAACTCACTGAAAACTAGCATACTCTTGCATCATCCCTGCCTGACCATGTTGCATGCCATTGCCTCCAAAGTCTGAGCCAACAGTTGGGCAAACCAAAGAGTTCATATCAGCACCCCATCCCCCAGCAGCACTTTCAGAACAACTCAGACTTAATCTTCCAACATTCATCATTTCGTCAACGCTCAAAAACTCCGTCCCATCAAATCTCTGTGGATTGCTGTACATAACTTCCTGGATTCCTCCTAGAAAACTGCTTTGTCCTTGGAGCATATTGTATCGATCATCAAAAAATTGAGTACCAATTGTGTTGTTCAAGCCATCCATGGAGGAAGGGGAAGAACCAGAAGCAGGCATAAGGACAGACTGCGGCTCATAAACTTGCTGATGCTGATCATTGTTATAGACTGGAGCTAGCTCCGGCCAGTAAGGGTTTTGGTTGTTGTTATTGGTGTCACTATTATCACCCTTGTGTTGCTTTCCTCTCCGGGCCTGCTGCTCTTTCCGTTGCTTACCAAGAAGCTTCTTCTTCAACCTCGTATTCCAGTAGTTCTTAATATCATTATCCGTCCTCCCCGGCAATTGTGCAGCAATTATAGACCACCTAAATTTTTATTCATAATAATAGTATATAGAAAGTCAATTTAAAAATGAACCAAACCTAGGGTTTGTAACCAAAAAACAAAAAAAAAAAAGAAGTAAATTAATTACCTGCTTCCAATAGTAACATAGAAGCTGCAAATAATTCTATCTTCCTCTTCAGTAAATCCTCCATGCTTGATGTTCGGCCGGAGATAGTTTAACCATCTGAGGCGGCAGCTCTTCCCACATCTATTAAGCCCTAATCCACAATATTAAACACAAATTGTTGTTATGTAGATTTAAATTTCTGATCTAGATCTTAAATATAATTAGTGGTATCAATTCTGCTAAGATTCATCAAATAAAGAGAAGAAAAGAGAAGAAGAAATGAACTATATGTACCAATTTTCTGTGGCAAAGCAATCCAGTTGCCTCCAGTGCCATGCTGCTCGATGAAAGATTTGAGCTTGGCATCTTCCTCAGGTGACCATGGGCCTTTCTTCACGCTGGCTTTGTCACAGCAAGGAGCTCTCCCCATATTTCTTGGTATCTTTCTTCTCTTTCTACTGAAACCAGAATAATTATAAAAGAGAAAGGGGGATAATCAGAGTTCCTAAGAAAGGGCTTATAATTTTTATAATGTTACGGACTAAAGGAGACGATTGGTATAAAAAAATTTCGAGAAAAGTAGAGTGCCAGAACAGGATGTAGGGTTTTTCTCCTTGTCTTTCTTGGAACTGGGGATTCAATGATCTTTTCCTTCTAGTCAGTGTCACGTTATAAATTAATTATACTTTAATTAATTATTATTAGTGCAATGTGTGGGTTATATTAATCATTCATTTGAAATTATTGTGGAAAAATTAAAAGAAATAAGGGAAAGTGATAGATGTTGAAACTAGAGAAACCGAAGTCAAATCCATGAATTTGGCAATGGTAACGTGGATCGTGCCTATATCGCTCAACTATAGTCTTTGTATACAAGTTTAAAGTATGAATTAATCTATTAATAAGTCTAGTTTTACGGATCAGATATATAGTTTGAGGGTAAATAATTAATATACTTTTTGATTTAATAAAATTTTTTATATTTGTTTAATTCAGTTATTAAAATATAATATAAATACAATTAGTTCTTATATTTTGTATACATGACTTTATTTTTAAGTTTGTTTGCATTTAATTTTAAATTAAAATAATAATAATTTTTTAAATAAATATGTTAAGCAATATGTTAAATTAAAG